GCTTTGTCTCTCAACTCGCTTTTGTTCAGCACCACCATCTACCCCAAACTCATTGTGGATGTCTTGTCTCAACGGCAGAGCATTTCACACTCCGCTTGTATGTTGCAGTTGTTCCTTTTCTACGCTTTAGGTGCTTCAGACTTCTTTCTGTTGTCAGCCATGGCTTACGACAGGTATGTGTCCATCTGCAAGCCTCTGCAATATGCAACCACCATGCGCACAACCAATGTCACCATCTTCTTGGCTTTGGCCTGGTTTCTGCCCGGCTGCCAGGTTGCTGTGGGAACTTACATTAATGGAAAGCAAAAATTGTGCAGGTTTGTTTCAGGGGGCATTTTCTGTAACAACACTGTGAATAAGCTTCAGTGCGTGAGATCAGAAACGACGGTCGTTTACGGTGTGTTTGTCTTCATCAGCATTGTGATTCTCCCTGTCTTGTTCATCCTCTTCACATACGTTAAAATATTTCTCGCCATTTATTGCCGTTGCAACGGATCCTGGGAAAAGGCAGTGGAGACCTGTTTACCTCACCTGATGGTTTTAATCTGCTTCTCTTGCTTGGCTGCGTTCGACGTCATTGTGGACCAAGCGGGGTCAGAGCTTCCGAAGACGGTTCGCCTGATCATGATGTTGCAAATAGTGGTGTACAATCCTCTCCTCAATCCAATCATATATGGAGTGAAGATGAAAGAAATCTGGAAACATATCAAGAAGTTGTTCCGTCACCACATCAAATAAATGGATTTCGAAATTCAACGTGTCAAAAAAAAAATAAATGAAGCCAGGATTTAATTTGTCGAATAAATTACATTTGGCATTTCACCGGTCACACTTATTTCATAATGTCAAAGGTTTTCTGGATTATTAACATGACATTGTTGTTTGGTGTTTGTATTGATATGTGTTCAGTGCACAATGGATTGTAATGTGTGCCTCTCATGATTAAAAAAAAAAAAAAATCCCATTCAGGAAGTGTTGTTACTCTTTTATTATACAGTACTATTTATTTTCCTTCACAGGATGAAAACAAATTCTGTCTCGTTATCTACCCAGCTATCCGTTGCTCCAAGAATGTTATAGCCTTAAAATGCAGTGCTGCTGATTGACAGCAATTGTGCAAAGAAGAATGGGTCATAATATCTCCGGCATAAAAAATTATTGTACTTTTTTACACTGGTCCAGGAAGCATTGAATCTTTTTTTTTTCCCTTAACAAATAAAAATCACCATTTTAAAAACTCAATTTTATGCTTACTTGGGTTATTTCAAGTTCAAGTTCAAGTCAACTTTATCGTCAAATGTGCGACATGTGCAACATGCAGTTTTTATGTATTTGATTGATTTATTGATTGGAAAAAAAAACAACATGAAAGACAAAGAATATCAAAGAAAAAATATCAAGACATATCTTGGTTCAGTACAATTTATATGCTCAAAGGGAGAAGGAAGAAGTAGAAAAACCTATTTAGTCCTACCCGTTGTTCTCTGTAAATCACTGAAAATCATGATATCATGCTAATTAATGCACAAATAGGCTAGTGTACAAATCTGGACCAGTATAAAAAAAAAATAAAAAAAAGCACCGCTCCCCTTTACATACGTTCAAAATATCTGTACATATGAGCGTGACATGTACACCAATGATTCGATATCCTCGTAATAAATCGAAACAAAAAAAAAACAAAGGAAAATATGAACAGACATGCCCCTTTATACATATCTACTGAGAAACTATTAAAAACAATTAAACCTCAAGAGCCATAAATGTTACATTCAGTGCCGTTTCTCATGTCTATACATGATTGATTTATTTTTAGATTTTTAAACCTCTTTTTGAGCACAACTAGCAATTCGCTCATTTTCAATTGTATTTCTTAATTGTTCCATCAATGAACTCTTTTTACAGAAACACAAATTTGTTTTACATTTGTTCTTGTCTTTTTTGTTTTTGTTGTTTTTGTTTTTGTTTGTTTTAAAGGCACTCCTACGCCTTATACTGAAATAACCCTCTGTGATTTTGAACAGCTTCTGGATACTGGTAAGTTGGTTATTGTTTGCCTTGTACATTATTTGTGCTGTTTTGAATTCAACTCATTCATAGAATTTGAGAGTGTTGAATTTGATAAATAATACATTTGTTGGTTCAACATCATTTGAGCGGTTAATCATTCATAGAGCTCTTTTTCGTAGCTTAAAGACAGACTGAGTTTTTCTTTTGTAAGTCTTACACCACAGCTCCACACAGGATGTCAGATATGGCAGCAATAATCAGCAATATAATATATATGATGCCTTATTTAGGAGGGTATCCTTTGTTTTATACAGGATACCTAAAGGTTTGGAGATTTTTCTTTGAGCATTTTGTAAGTGTTATTTCCAAAATAATGTTTCATCTACAATAACTCCCAAATATTTTGTCTCAATTACTCTTGCCACCTCAACAGAATTGACAATTCTGACCTGATTTAATTTGTCTGGTCACAAATATTGTGTGCTTTGTTTTGTTTAACTTCAAAGATAATTTAGTACTGTAGTATCAACCCATTTTTTATATCTGTTTAATTATTTTTCCACAGTATTCAGAAGCTACTCAAAGTTTTCTCCAGGGCAGCATCAGGTTGAAATCATCAGAAAATAGATTTTTTTTTTTTTTTAAGACAGCAAATGTCATTCATATCAAGTAGAAATAGTTTAGGACCAAGCACAGACCCTTGGGGGATCCCGTGAGTTATCGTCAACTTGTTTGATTTGTTTGTCAGCTACCTTCCCTGCCATACTCTCTGCTGCCAGCTGTCATGGATAGCCCTCCAGTACACCTTGGTTTGGTTTCCCTGACTGCCTTTGTGGTTCCTGCCTCCTTGACCTGGTCCTCCAACCATATACGTATTTATGATGTGGCCCACGACGAAAAGGAGTTTGACCGCTATTTCAGTATCCTATTCAGTAGCAATATTTCTTCTCAAAATTTGCTCCCATATTCTCAAGAACCATACAGTATTGAGAATTAATTGACTCAGAGTTTTCAATGAACAGAGAATGGTGCCAAGGAAAAGAAAATCGGAACACGGAACTGTTACATTAGGCCTGTTGCATGAGATAGAGTCTTCTGGCACATAACTTGTTCGAAAGTAGGGTAATTCATGATCTGACAATTAATCAGCGACAGCAGCGCTATAGTGCTCATCTTCACACTGTTCCGGTTTTTCTGGTATTCAGCACATTAGTTCCTAGTAACCAAAGAGTCTTGACTCTCTGTCACATTTCCCGGAGCTGTTGCATTTGATGTTATCCTTGATCTACTCTTCATATTTTAATTTGGCCTGTTTGATGTTAAATGTTGTTTGGGGAAACCCCGTTTGGGATGGAATAAATGTCCGGATATCATTTGCCTTTTAAAAACGAGAGCAGTATAAAAAGGAGCAGGTTTTACAGTTGGATTCATTGGTGCAGGGAAAGTCAACTCTGAGAAATCTTCATCCGGACTCAGAGGTGGGTCGACTCGCCAATTTTGGTCAAGAAAAAGTATTGTTACTATTGAATATTATGACCCAAGAAAGATTAAAAAGTCGCCTTCCAAATAATTAAGATTAAGTATTCAGTACTAAGTAACCAGTGAGAAGTGGTGTTTTTTTTTTTTTTTAAATAGAGCATTACAAATTTAGCAACAAGAAATGCTGTTGAATGAATCAGCATATGCTCAAAGTGAATGTCTTGTATGTGTGTGTTGTCGGGATGGGGTAGTGAAGACTGTACTTTGGGGAAGGAATGATTTGGGAGTGGAAGAGTTGTCAATTTTCCATGGTGCAAATGAACCCAGCACCGCATGCGCACGCGCGAAATGACCTCACCCACCCACGCAGAATTTCGCTAAAGATACATTTCCAGGAGAGGAAGAGTTATCAATTTTCCATAGCGTGCATGCAGCAGTGCATGAAAAACTCTGCGTAATTACCTCACCCATTCAGGCAGAAATTTCCGAGAAGCCCAAGATGCAGAGTGCAGTTCGAGGCGTGGCTCAACGTGGGTGAACCAGAAACATTTGTCTGCACCCACCAGGATTCTAAGAACTATTTCCTTTGAATAATGGGCAGGGTGCCCTGAAAATGGGCGAGATGACTCTGGTTCTGAGTATCTAGGTCAGTGGGTTCAAAAGTTGTGGTCAAGGAGGATGTCTTGAAATGAGTTGGATGGGTGCAGTACCACATGTTCCCAACAGAGGACGCACTAATCAAATGCTTTCGTATTTGGATTTCCGTCAGTTTTGTCATTTTCGATGTTAAATACCCCTCACTTTTTTTTCTTCTTATCTTTTTGATGAACCCAAATATCTTTTTTTTTTGTTCTATTTAAATTAATTACTTTCGAGTGCACACCGACCACACCTCCCTGCTTCCCTGCAATGTTATCCTCAACCCCACGCAAACCATAACAAAAGTATGCCACCTTTGATTTACAAATGCCCCAATATATCAGTCTTTCCAGTTATGAGCTGTCGCTTTCTCAGTGTTTTATCTGTTTTGCTCTGTCTTTTTTTTTCTTTTGACTTGTCCCGTTATGGGTAGACGAGGCCTCATGTAGGATTCAAGCACAATGAGCACAATGTTGGTACTGTACTGTACTGTGTCGGCACCGTCACTCTGTTGTTCGATACGGACACCTGCTGGACTTTACGCATCATTGCATGGCAAGCAACTTTATTTGTGACTTCTTTTCCATGACTTCATTTCTTTACAATCGCGTTTATTATATTTTATGTTTTTATACAACACGGTGCTATTTTTCATGATGGACGAGGAAGGAGTTGCTACAATTTCTTTACGACTGAAGATGAGTGCTTCTGAGCACCCGTGAAGCGCAATCGAGTATTCTCTAGTGTTCTCAAGTACAACTTGTCTGTTATGTCTTTCAGAACTCAGCCAGCTAATTAATTGTACCCAACATGGTCCTTCTCCTGGTGCTCACGGCCGCCATCAGCCTGCTGCCAGGTAACTAACTATACGCTTTCAGTTTCATCTTCACCTCTGCCATTTTGCAGTTCTGAAAACTTGGGCATTGATGTCGCGATGATGAAGCGTAAAATGATTGATTCACGGTGCCAATAATGGGCAAAATTATTTCGATTGTCATAATTGACGTCTAAAAACCCACAATATACTCTTTCTTTCTTCTTTTATGCTTGTGGTTGAACCAATTAGTCGTCAAGTCAACTTTACTAGTCTGCATGGTTGAAGCTTGTCTGTGTGGCATACGTATAAATACCCCAAATTAGACGGCAGTCTCTCGATGACTCAGTCATGAACAATTCTGTCATTTGCATCGATTTTGTAATAAATTGTGTTTTTTCCATGACATGATATTGCAGGTTGCGGGTATTCCACGTAGCCTCACCTATTCTTTGTGTTTACATAAAATTTGAACTGTCATCATTTCAAAAAATTAATTGGGCATTTGCAATCTGCAGTTTCACTGATGTACTCGATGTACTGTAAAACTGAGTACAAAGTGATGATTAGGCGGATGTTGCAAGACTTGGAGCCTTTACTCATGCCATGTGTTCAGAATGGAATGCTGTGAAGCAACATTCTCATCATATTGTTTTACAGACTGTTTGTGTTGCTGAAATATTTATCACCCTTTCAAGAGTTCAGGATTATAATCACCAGTTTCTCCACAGAGAGAAAAATCTGATAGAAGCACTACGTGATCTTTTTAAATCTGTGTTTATTAAGTGTCGCACGTACTTGTGGCTCAAAATGGACCGATTCCATCGAGATTCATCTTGTTCCTTGCTAAAAGCGACTGGAGCCAATCCTGAAAGAGTCAAATCTCAAGTTCCATCTATATTATGATATGACTTTTGTTTTGTAAATCAATACGCAAAAACAACAAGGAAGCAAAGTTTTGTAAATGGATTTAAAATCAGTTACAGTTGACTTCATTTCTTTTCGCATCTTATTCCCGTTTGCATGCAGCATATATCAGCTAAATGCAACTTCACTATTATTAGTTGGAAGTCTGTGGATCTCAGAGAGCTACTGGGTTGACATTCAATCAGCATTTCTTTTATGTATTCAGGACCCGAACCGTTCAGTCATTTATAGACATATTTACAGATTTATAGCGTCATAACTTTTCAAATCTGTTCTACAGCTGATTGGGGCCAACTGTAAAGCCTGGAGGATTGGATTAATATGTTCTGAGCTCTTTTTTTTTTTTTTTTGTCCGAAGCTGAGCTACAGCATTCTGAATGAGCTGCAGCTTTTGATGCTCTTTTGAGGCAGTCCAGTCAAAAGACGATGATATGATAATAATCGAGTCGACTGGAGAAAGCTAGTCACCATGTGTTTTGTGGACTTGGAGAAGGTGTTTGACCGTGTCCCTCTGACAGCTTTGTAGGGGGTGCTTCGGGAGTATGGGGTACCGAAACCCCTGCTGATGGGGCTGTTCGGTCTCTATCTCAGCAATGTCAGAGTTCGGTACACATTGCCGGGAGTAAGTCAGATTCATTTCCAGTGAAGGTGGGACTCCGCCAAGGCTACCCTTTGTCACCAATTTTGTTCATAACCTTTATGGACAGAATTTATAGGTGCAGTTGATGCGTTGAGGGAGTCCAGTTTGGTGGCCTCAGTTTTGAGCTTCTTCAAGTTGCGATCTCCAACTCTCACTGGAGCAGTTCACAGCCAAGTGTGAAGCAGTTGGGATGAAAATTAGTACCTCCAAATTTGAAACAATGGTCCTCAGTCGGAAAAGGGCGGAGTGCCTTTTTCGGGACAGGTATGATATCTTGCTACAAGTGGAGGAGTTTAAGTATCTTGGGGTTGTGTTCACGAGTGAAGCAGGAGATTGACAGGTGGATCGGTGCAGCGTCTGCTGTGGTGCGAAGTCAGTTGGTATGGCCTTATCTTACCGGCAACCCTAATGAGAATCAGTGGGATAGAAAATGGATGGCTGGAAACTCATAGTTACAATCAAAAGGAAAATTAACGTAAATGAATGTACAATGTGGCCTTCCATTGAAAAGCATTTCACATTTTTCAGTTATGTTTTTAATCGCAAAATTCTAGCTCGAACTATATATATTATATCGAATAGATAACAGACATGTAATAGAATTATTATTTTCATTCAACATTATGGAAAAATGTAATTAACATTTTTTTTAATAAATGAAATAAGTGAACAACTTGAAAGCAAACTTAAGTACATAGACAAGACACATCGTCTCAGACATGCTGGCCTAATGAGGAAACTCATGTTTCCAGGCTAAAGCCATCAGTGAGGCCTTTGGCCCTTGTGCAACACTAAGTCAGGCTGGTTCAAAAGAAACCAAAGCATGGCTGGTATCTGGATTAGCTCAAGAATTTTGCCCCATGGCAACATTGGAGAATGCCGACTGTTATAAAATTCACTCAGTATACATCTGTCTTTAACACCTCATGATACATGTGTAAAATACCTGTCCCGGAGCAGGTGAAGGGATTGTGGGCATACGGTATTCATGCCAGGGAAGAAAGGAGCTATAAATCACAGGATGGTGTGCAGCGACCACACTAACTGGCTTACAAGTCTTGATTAGTCCGTTTAATTTGGCCATTGGTCTAGGGGTGGTAATTGGAGGAGAGGCTGGCTGCTGCGCCAACTGCATGCAGTTGCCTTAAGTACAAAAAAAACGAAAAAACAAAACTAAAACAAAAACTCAATTTGCGAAGAAATGCACAGCAACACACAATATCTGCTGGAATGTGAGAGCATGATATGATTGGTAATGTTGCAAATCTAAGGGCAGATTAGATTGCATACGTAGATGGACGGCTCAAAATGATAATTGTCTGAAAATGCTAAAACATCTAGGCACAGTCTAACAATCTCCTGATGAATACCGGTAATAAATTTTCTGCACAGCAATGCTGCACCTACATCTTGCGGGATCATTATCAAAATGACATGCCATGTTTGTCTCCACCTACTGTGCCTAATGGACCTCTCATACGGTGTCTGATTTAAATTTTTTTTTTTTAATGACTCGCGGCAGGAGTAGGCTATGCCAAACCTCGCTTGCTGACTGAATGAATGAGGAAATAAAATGGAGTGTATTGCTCTGAAAGGGGGCGGAGGCAGACAAAAACTCGAGGTTCATTGAGAAAAACCCGGTCTCAGCCAGTTTAGATTCATAGAATCTGTTACTGCGGGAACTAACCGAGAGCTTAAGTGACATCTCTCTCTCTGAAACAGGCTCGAGTTAACCCTCTTTCTCTGGTTTGACTTACCGGTACCTCTCTTTGAAGCGGAAAACTCAGTTTCCCTCATTTTAGGGTGAACAGATTTGGGGTTATCCCGAAACCCGCTTTGTGAAACGGACCCCTGGTCTGTTTGTAGCATGCAACCCTTCCGTCTGGATTTGTTTTTCAGCTATTAAAAGGCTGTTTTAGTGATTGCTGGTCTGAGTATATCAGCACCCCAAGATTTCGGACTTGGCCTTTGATTTCTAAAGACAGTCACTGTATGTGTTTAACAGCAATCCTATTTTCCCTTTTGCCCAAAACAATCTCTGTTTTGTTCGGGTTTAGCTGAAGGAAATGTTGGTTAATTGAGTTGTTAAGTTGCAATAGACCAGGGGTATCCAAACTCGGTCCTCAAGGGCCGATGTCCTGCCTGTTTTCCATCTCTCCTTGCTGAAACACACCTGATTCAAAGGATCAGGTCATCAGCAAGCTCTGAAGAAGCAAGATAACAATCCTGATTATATGAATAAGGTGCGTTGCAGCAGGGGGGCACGGAAAACAGGCAGGGCATCGGGCCTTGAGGACCGAGTTTGGACACCCCTGACTTACACAAAAATAAATAAAAATTGCATGTGTACAAAAGACTCAAAGTGAGGCAAATTTAGCAACAAGAAATGCTGTTGAATGAATCAGCATATGCTCAAAGTGAATGTCTTGTATGTGTGTGTTGTCGGGATGGGGTAGTGAAGACTGTACTTTGGGGAAGGAATGATTTGGGAGTGGAAGAGTTGTCAATTTTCCATGGTGCAAATGAACCCAGCACCGCATGCGCACGCGCGAAATGACCTCACCCACCCACGCAGAATTTCGCTAAAGATACATTTCCAGGAGAGGAAGAGTTATCAATTTTCCATAGCGTGCATGCAGCAGTGCATGAAAAACTCTGCGTAATTACCTCACCCATTCAGGCAGAAATTTCCGAGAAGCCCAAGATGCAGAGTGCAGTTCGAGGCGTGGCTCAACGTGGGTGAACCAGAAACATTTGTCTGCACCCACCAGGATTCTAAGAACTATTTCCTTTGAATAATGGGCAGGGTGCCCTGAAAATGGGCGAGATGACTCTGGTTCTGAGTATCTAGGTCAGTGGGTTCAAAAGTTGTGGTCAAGGAGGATGTCTTGAAATGAGTTGGATGGGTGCAGTACCACATGTTCCCAACAGAGGACGCACTAATCAAATGCTTTCGTATTTGGATTTCCGTCAGTTTTGTCATTTTCGATGTTAAATACCCCTCACTTTTTTTTCTTCTTATCTTTTTGATGAACCCAAATATCTTTTTTTTTTGTTCTATTTAAATTAATTACTTTCGAGTGCACACCGACCACACCTCCCTGCTTCCCTGCAATGTTATCCTCAACCCCACGCAAACCATAACAAAAGTATGCCACCTTTGATTTACAAATGCCCCAATATATCAGTCTTTCCAGTTATGAGCTGTCGCTTTCTCAGTGTTTTATCTGTTTTGCTCTGTCTTTTTTTTTCTTTTGACTTGTCCCGTTATGGGTAGACGAGGCCTCATGTAGGATTCAAGCACAATGAGCACAATGTTGGTACTGTACTGTACTGTGTCGGCACCGTCACTCTGTTGTTCGATACGGACACCTGCTGGACTTTACGCATCATTGCATGGCAAGCAACTTTATTTGTGACTTCTTTTCCATGACTTCATTTCTTTACAATCGCGTTTATTATATTTTATGTTTTTATACAACACGGTGCTATTTTTCATGATGGACGAGGAAGGAGTTGCTACAATTTCTTTACGACTGAAGATGAGTGCTTCTGAGCACCCGTGAAGCGCAATCGAGTATTCTCTAGTGTTCTCAAGTACAACTTGTCTGTTATGTCTTTCAGAACTCAGCCAGCTAATTAATTGTACCCAACATGGTCCTTCTCCTGGTGCTCACGGCCGCCATCAGCCTGCTGCCAGGTAACTAACTATACGCTTTCAGTTTCATCTTCACCTCTGCCATTTTGCAGTTCTGAAAACTTGGGCATTGATGTCGCGATGATGAAGCGTAAAATGATTGATTCACGGTGCCAATAATGGGCAAAATTATTTCGATTGTCATAATTGACGTCTAAAAACCCACAATATACTCTTTCTTTCTTCTTTTATGCTTGTGGTTGAACCAATTAGTCGTCAAGTCAACTTTACTAGTCCGCATGGTTGAAGCTTGTCTATGTGGCATACGTATAAATACCCCAAATTAGACGGCAGTCTCTCCTCAAATACAATAAAAGCACAAGTGAACTAGAAACAGTGAAGGAGAGAGACGTTTTACTTTTGGGGTGCTTGGTTACAATGTCCGGTGTTAAAACACTATGCAATGGAACACAAGATGCGATCCGTTGATAGAACAAACATATGTGCAGGTCTCCCACTAATTACAATTACATGAAGCATGATGGTGAGTTGAACTTTGAATCAACTGTTTTTATTTGTTTCTTTGCCAGTGTGTCGGAATAAATACGTACGTGAAACTCGTCGACGGCCCAAAAAAACGTTGCTGTGATGAAAATTATCAATGACATCATTGATTCATTGACTTTATGCCAACTTTCATCACATTATAGTCTCGCACAAAGCACAGTCTAATTTTGCACATGGGTGGAATTGTTTTTCTTTTGATCTTTTCCGAGACTTGCACAGGTGGAATAGCGCGTTTGCGCCAGTGTGGCATAGAACGCCGTCGAAGTTACGGCCAATTGATTCCCTTGAAAATCCGAGCGGTTGAAGCAGACGTGAGCTTGACATTGCGGAAGCAAACATTGACTCGATGCGCCCGTTTTTTACACCGAGCGCACAGGCGGCTCTCAACGAAAAAAGGCCCCGAAATTTTAAGTCGTACAGGTGCTGTACCTCTCTTACAAATGTGCTCGACTCACTTGAATGTTTGACTTGTACACGGTAATACTTGGTGACAAAAGCGAATCGCTATGACATGTTGCTACAGGTGTTCAGATTTGATTTCAGGATGTATGTCACCTCGTGTGGACTGCTGCCGACTGACTTTGTCATGTCTTTTTGTCTGTAGGCGCAACATCTCAAGCTATTGGTCCACTTATTCCCTTGTTCGAGTGTCCCATTAACTACTATGGAGAGACTTACGTTGAAGCATTTGTGAGTCAGTTCATAGCACATGTCTTGTTCTCTAACACATAATAAATTGTAACGTATTGATAACTGCTGTTGTCCCGTTAACAGGGGATCGCTCTCGGGAATGTATTTACGCTGCTCTTTGGCAACCAAACTAGCTCTGACTTCATGACTTTCACCTTTGAAGACCTGGTGCAACTTGTCGCTTTTGGGCCAACCTTTATTGTTGCTGATGAAACTTCTGAATTTGCCCTAAATCTGCCAGACCTTGTTGGGACGTCACCGTGCTTTTACGGTATCGGTTTGTTTTCTTCTTCGAATACGGTGAGTACTGTGTTTTGTATTTCTTCATTTTAGCTACTTGTTTGGATACACACACACACACACACACACACACACACACACACACACACACACATTAATATATATTATTTTTCTCTCTCTCTCTCACAGATCCTTTTGCATTTCCGCACATTTGGAAATCAGGGAGCGTACCTAGTCACCTCGCTCGTGCCACTGGTAAGAATAGAACTTTTCCTGCATTTGAAATCAAAGCAACTCAAAGGTAGCAGCATGTATAGGTTGTCAGCACCCCAAATATCGTAGACCGATCATGATTCCAATGTGTCAAGATGAGCAACTTTTCAAAACATTTCTCCTCTGTTGGTAATGTTTGCCACACTAAAATGGCAAATGACATGACAAGAGATGCGGAAAATAGATGAATGAGTTTTAAGGTGATATTCATAGCGTTCTTACTCTCAAACATGACCTGCTTGTCTTCCATGTAGACCGTCACGACAACAGTGGGGGGACAGCTGGTCAGCGCGACAGAGTTGTCAGCTCCTGAAACATATGCTTACCTTCGAGGCTGCAGACACGAGGGTAAGCGCGGCTCTTTACCTCGAAACACGCACCCTGTACACATGACTGACAAACATCGATCAAAACGTTCATGACACCTTTCAGTTCCTTCTCAGTCCTGTCAATTTACTCATGCCCGGGCAGCCTGGTGGTCTAGTGGCTAGCGTGTTGACCTCACAGTGCAGAGGTTCAATTCCAGCTCCGGCCTCCCTGTGAAGAGTTTGCATGTTCTCCCTGGGCCTGCGTGGGTTTTCTCCGGGTACTCCGGTTTCCTCCCACCTTCCAAAAACATACATGGCAGGCTGATTGAACACTCCAAATTGTCCCTAGGTGTGAGTGTGAGCATGGATGCTTGTTCGTCTCTGTGTGCCCTGCGATTGGCTGGCAACCGGTTCAGGGTGTCCTCCGCCTACTGCCTGAAGACGGCTGGGCTATGCTCCAGCACCCCCCGCAACCCCCGTGAGGATAAGCGGATCGGAAAATGAATGAATGAATTGTGTCATGCCCTGTGATAAGCGGATCAGAAAATGAATGAATGAATGAATGGTGTCATGCCCTGGGGCTGACGAGGTCGTGTCCTCCTTTGTTTTGTGTTGGAATCCGCATCCGGGATTCACATGCCTTGTTTCTGTGTGTTGTTTACAGGTCAATTCTATCCAGTAGGAACAGAGACATGTGTCTCCGGAACTGTCTTTGTGACATGTAATTCAACAGCTTTCCTCACCGTTTCGAACGATGACCCAAGGTAAGCATGTTCCGTGTCATTTGTCATGAGGCCACGCCCACAATCTCCTGAGCGAACCACCCTGCCTCTGCTAGATGCTCAAGGAAGTCTGGGTGCACCATGACTGTGATTTGGAGCCCCATTAACCAGCCAGCTGAAATTCTCCCTACTTCACCCCCTCCTATTCCAGTTATTTAGTGCTGTCAAGCGATTGAAAAAAAGTTGTAATTAATTATGCTCTGTAATTAATTAATCTAATTAATCAATATTTTAATCTCATCTAAAAATTACTGAGAAAAGCCTTATTTTCATTTTAAATTTGTTACATTATTGAGGCAGATCAAAAGATAAAAGAAAAAGTGGCATTATAAAGTATTTTATTGTTTTTCAGCAGACGTGGAAAGATGCAGTCCTAGCCATTTACTTTCTGCTGCATTTGAGACTCGTCAAAGTCCTACCTGCAACCTTTAGTTTCGACCACGAGGTGGAATATCACTGTTTTGTTTTTGTAAATCTCCAAAGAATTACAAAATAAAAATAAAATAGAACATCGGGTCCTTAGAAAGTGTTTAGGTTAACATATCAAAAACAATAAGAACAATTTTCTGAGCAATACAAGTACTCAACACTGAACTTGCTTCAGATAATAAACAATAAATAAAGCAGACCCTTAAATCACAGTGCAGAAAGTTGCTGAGTTCAAAAACAAATTCAAGATAATAGTACAACAAAACTACATCAATCAGAGTTAAGGTGATAAATTCGAAACATTCATTAAATCTAATAATAAATCAGAATTAAGTTGATAAATGGAGTAATGTACTGCAATATCCATTATGAATACAAGAGAAAATCGACATATAAAAGTGCTAGGGTGTTTATGTGTATAATCTCGATACAAACCAAAAGTTGTAAAAATAGATAAGTATAGCACAGATAAGGGTAAAAACATTAGTTTTTACGCAGACTTCTACTTTCTTTTCTGATTGACATAAAAATGATCTATTTATATATTAATACATAATATGGGGTAGGACCAGATAAGTTTCTTTACTTCTTCCTACTCCTTTGAACATATAATTGTGTTGTATGTATGATGACTGTTTTCGTTTCCTTTTTTACAAATGTACTTACCTTTACTTTCTGTCAATGTATTACTGTATATGTTTTTATGTTAAATAAACAATTAAAAAAAAAACACTTCAGAAATAACACTGTTCCTCATGACAAACTAAAAGCGCTGAAAAAAACATGAATCACTTCTAGTAGTCTACAGAGTGAATTCATGGGTGGCTGGAGCGCAGGTGCTAACGGTGGCTCCTTTGATTGCCATAAAAGTAAAAAGCCTTGAGATTTTCTTCTGTTGTGAATTGGCATCATATAAATAAAACCGACTTCCTGCGATTTGCAGGGGGCAAACTAAAGGTGACACTTTTGCCGGTGTTGTCCAGAGAATTTGCTTGTTTGCCATCGACAAACCTCCCATGATAGCATCATTTGTGGCTCATCATTAGCAGCCTCCCGAGGCTGACCTTGTTTTGACACTATTCTTCCATCACTCTATCCCTTTCTAATTAAGCATTGTAATGAAGGTAAGAAAAAAACAAATCAGCCCCAGTCCCTTGACATTTTACACACAGATGACCTTCCTCTCAATTGTCCAACTTGTTGTTTCCTTTCAGAGACAAACAAAAATGTGGCTTTAAATAAGAAATCTTAAAAAAATAACTAAATGCTAGAATATTATGAGAACTATCTTGTTCTGATGTTAACGTTTTTGTTTTTTTCAACATTTAGGAATCAGTAAAGCGTTGTTGGTTTGAAAATAAAATCCAATGAAACAGCATTCTATTGTGGATTTGGAGTTCCCTTAAATTATCACAGGTTTATGTCCAGAAAAGTTAATGTGTTAAAATACTGTATCGAAATCGCCTTGATGGGATTGAATTGTACTGTGAGGTGGCCCATTGGTTGAGTGGTTAGCGCCTCAGCCTCACGACGGAGAGGTGCAGGGTTTGATTCTGGATTTTGGCCTTCCTGTGTGGAGTTTGCATGTTCTACCCGGGCCTGCGTGGGTTTTATCCGGGTACTCCGGTTTCCTCCCACATTCCAAAACCATGCATGGCAGGCTGATTGAACACTCCAAATTGTCCCTAGGTGTGAGTGTGAGCACAAATGCTTGTTTGTTTCTGTGTGCCTTGCGATTGGCTGGCAATCGGTTCAGGGTGTCCCCCGCCTACTGCCCGAAGACAGCTGGGATGAGCTCCGGCACGCCCTGCGACCCTTGTGAGGGTAAGCGGATCAGAAAATGGATGGATGGATGAATTGTATTGTTCAAAAAAAGTGATAATCGCCTTGTATCAAATCATTAGGCCATATCGCAGAACGTATCAGAAAAAAAAAATTATCTTGACAGAAATCTCTCTTGCTCTTTTCTCATGTCGAATCGTACAGGTGAGGTGAGTCACCTTTATACAACATTTGCTACTTGGAAGTACATATCTTGGGTGAAAAAGTTTCCAACGTGGAAAACGAAAACTATAAATGAGCAGCATCAGCATGTTTTTGGCACTCTTCTTTGGCCTTTGACTCCATGATTGCCTTCCACCGGCTTCCTCTCTTGTCACATCATATTATAATGTGACAATGGACTTGTCACTTCAGAACATCATGTTCACCAAATGTTTGACCCTGTTACATGTGATGGACAGGTCAGGCCCACAAAAAACACGGAGGCCAAAAGGACTTAGGGGAATTTGTTGACATGACAGCGGCTCTTAATGAGATCCGTGGAGGCTCAGCAACCATCATAAAAGACTTGTCACTCCCGCGATTCTGGACCGCCGGTGTGCAGTGTGCACATGAATGGAACACGATGAACGGAACTCACGTCCTAATAAGCCTTGGCGGCTATATCGATGTGGATAAGTACCGATATGTTTACTTTGTGTTCTTTTTGACGCTCTACGTTCTCATCCTATGCTCGAATGGCACCATTATTTGTCTCATCTGGATTCACAGGAACCTTCACGAGCCCATGTATATTTTCATCGCCGCTTTGTCTCTCAACTCGCTTTTGTTCAGCACGGCCACCTACCCCAAACTCATTGTGGACGTCTTGTCTCACCGGCAGAGCATTTCTCACACAGGGTGTATGTTGCAGTTTTTCGTGTTCTACTCTTTAGGTGGTTCAGACTTCCTTCTGTTGTCAGCCATGGCTTACGACCGGTATGTGTCCATCTGCAAGCCTCTGCGATATGCAACGACCATGCGCACAACCAATGTCATCATCTTCTTGACTTTGGCCTGGTTTCTGCCCACCTTCCAGATTGCGTTGGCAACTTTTATTAATGCAAAGCAAAAAATGTGCCGGTTTGTTTTAGGGGGCATTTTCTGTAACAATTCTGTGAAGAAGCTTCAGTGTGTGAGATCACAAACTTTGGTTGTTTATGGTATGTTCATCTTTGTCAACGTTGGGTTTCTCCCTATCTTGTTCATCCTCTTCACATACGTTAAAATATTTCTCGCCATTTATTGCCGTTGCAACGGATCCTGGGAAAAGGCAGTGGAGACCTGTTTACCTCACCTGATGGTTTTAATCTGCTTCTCTTGCTTGGCTGCGTCCGACGTCATTATGGACCAAATGGACTCAGATGTTCCAAAGATTGTTCACCTGATCATCATCTTGCAAATATTGGCGTACAGTCCTCTCTTGAATCCAATCATATACGGGGCAAAGATGAAAGAAATATGGAAACACATCAAGTTGCTCTGTCACCGCGTCAAATAAACGAATTTAGATGTTCAACCTGTCAAAAAATAAAAACAAGTCATTATACATATCCAATAAATTAAGTCGGATATTAATGACCAACCTTATTTCATAATGTAAAAGGTTTTCAGAGTGCTTCACACTTCTAAGGTGGTGTTTTTATTGATATGCGTTCAGTGCAAAACAGATTGGAATGTGTTTCAATCATGTTCAAAAAAAAAAGAAACGAAATAAAAGAACATTGAGGAAGTGTTGTTGCTGTTTTATTGAAACGTACTATTTAATTGCCTTCACAGGATGAAAAAAAAAATAAGACTCTATCTACCAACCTATTCACTAGATGGGGCCAATTCCAATCTCTTATTTCTCTGGGCCATAACAGCCTTGTTCAACTTTATTCAGCAAAATAACTACTGGTCGGCGGAAATCCAGATAACTGATTTTGACGTAAATTGATGTAATGTTTTCACATTACAAAATAAGCCATTGTATATTTTTAAAGGACATGCTTACACAAACATATGAAATATCAACATCAATCTATTGGGGAGGGTGATCAATTGTACAAAATACTTTTTTTTTTTGCAATATGTGATAGTTTAAAAATAATACAGAAATGCCTGTTGTCTATTCAAAGCTTCACATTTTTAATTCCAAACTTTATTCGCATCATTTAAAAACTGGCAGGTCAGAGCGGCCGGGGAGTGGATGGAACTAAGGGGCTTCAGTCATCTGCATCCGCATTCATCCACCACCATGTCCTGGTAGTGGCGCAGCACTACGTTGTCATTGTTGTCATAGTAGAGCATGGAGATGGGCGAGAAGCGGACAGGTACGCAGCAGGGCTGAGGGGTGCTTTCCGGATCCAGCGAATGAACCAAAGTCTGCAGGATGGCGTGGTTGGTGCTGTTCAAACTGTCACTGAGAGGGAAGGGGCACTCACCGTGGCAATAGTTTGCCACGTAGCCCTGCGGTGCGATGATCCAATCCTGCCAGCCTACGTCCTTGAAGTCCACATAGAGCCGGCGAGCCTTGCAAATGTTGCTGGGCGAAACGGGGGGCAGGGCGTGGGCAGCGCTCCTCCGCTGCCGGGAACGGCACTGCTGTGGGTGGAGCGACACTGCCACCAGCGAGGCCTGTACAGATGGCGCTACCCAGGACTGATCCGGGTCAGCATTAAGAGGCCGGAGTTCCAAAAGCAGACCATAATTGCGTGCTGGGTGACGCCAGGACTCGGCCAGTGCGGTGACATCCAAGATGACCGACACCACCTCAAGGCCCAACTGGACTGACTGGGACAGCAGAAGGCGGCGGTTGGCCCGAGGGTCGGCGCCCTTTAGCGTGGGCCGGACTATCTTATACAGAACGGCACTGACGGTGGGACCACTTTGCAGCAGGGTTGCCATCCTAGCAGAGCCCCTGGGCCGGGACCTCCACAGGAAGTGGATGTGCAACTGGGCCAGAGACAAGACCTCCGAGGACTCCAGGGCCGCAAGATTGAAAAAGAGATGCTGGTCCACGCAGCCTGGGCATGCTATGCCAGAACCGGGAACAACACTACCTACACGCACACAAAACATAAATTGACACTCTGAAACTTACAAGCACATTGTTTCACACACAAAACAACAAAGACATACCAAAAGTAAGACACACAAAAACAAACACCTGTACGCTCACAGACATAGTGACACGGACGCACGTGCACAAAAACATGGCCACACACAAACAGACATGTACACGCACAGAAAACAGAGACATACATGTGCACAACACAAGCAGACACACAACAGAGACACACCGACGCGGACACACGCAACAGGTATACATTGATACGCACAACACAGCCATGGAAACACACATAGCGATGAACGTATTTTGCAAATGAGAAACAGACAAACAACAGAGGTACACGTGGGTATACTGTACACGATTAGACACTAACGGAAAAAGACACAAATACAAACACGCATTCACGCACGGATACAATTGGCATGTTGTCTGTAGCCACAAAATGACTTGGCCTTGGCGGTACCATTGCCACTACCTTGGTCTTGCACATATCTGATGATGTTGCCACGGACGCCGTACTCGGACACCATGCACGGCTCGCCTTCATCGACCTGGGCGCGCTGCGACCTCCAGAACATCTTCCAAAGGGCCGGTGGAACGTCGTGGCGCGGGGATCGGGACCCAGGGGCACCATCGGGGGCGGCCGGCGGCTCGGAGAGGCCTAGGGCGCCGAGCAAGAGCCGCTCCGAAGGGACAGCGTCCACGCCAACCAAGAAGAATAGGAGCAGGAGCGCAAGCATGTTGTTCTTCGCCCAGACGAGTTCGCTCAGCAGGGCGCTGGGCGTTTGATTTAAATGGCGCGACCTCCCGTAGTGATCGATAAGATGGCGAGGGAGGAGGCGGGGAAGCACGAAAGCTCCAAACATTTTTGGTTTGTGTTCTAAACTTTTTATCAGTTCTTGAGACTCAAGGAACTGATAAAAGCTTTAGAAAACAAACAAAAATTACCTGACTCAAGTCATTACAGATCAGCTCTACTTTTGGCACAACCCCCTGAGTTTAAGAGCCACATTTTGGTTTTTAAAAGCACTACCAATAATGACCAAAGAAAAAAAAATACAAATAAAGTTAATATGGTTGATATAATAGCAAAAATAATTAATCCCATTTTTACACTTTAGGTAATGTTATTTGTTCCACATAACAAGCAATAAAATGAGTAACAAAATGTTAACACGTGCATTTAAAAACTTTAAACGCCAAAAATTTAAATGTCTAAATTATGTATATTCATGTAAGCAATTCACTAATTACTTAAACAATAAGTCCATAGTTTAGAAAAGTTAAAATTTGTAAAATAGTTTTTCCCCATATCAGTGTATCTGTCTTGTATCCACTTGTGATGCAAGCATTTCCATATTCTGTATTCTTAATCGTTGCTACCTAAATATTACCTGTATCTTATTTCATCCTGTTTTGACTCGTTACTCACTGGTGGGCGTCCACACTGTGAGCGTTTGTTGTCAGGTTTATTGATTGAGTTTAAAATGGCATTTTTTTGTTTTTAACTGTGCAATATGATGAGGTGCTGTACAAATAAAGTTGGACCGCAGAGAAATACCGGAAATGGACTGTCACAAAAATGGGGTCACTGGTCGTCTTTCCTCTGTATGTCTGACAGAGTCTGGAGGCAAAGTCAGGTATGTGACGTGGTTAAATATCTCATGCAAGAGAAAGAAAGGAAGAGAAGACGTTAAGTGTAAGTCATACTCAGTCTTAAGTCACTAAAGGTTAACTACTCGACAACACTCAGAAATATTCGCAGTGACGCCTCCGTGATTCGCTTGCATGCGAACAAACAAGCTATCCGTAACGTATCTTAACACGGCGAATGGCACTGTGCTAAGATAAGTCCAAGTTCAAGTCAACTTTATTGTCAAATGTGCTCTATGTGCAACATACGGCACAGATGTATGTAGACCAATAAAGTCGCCGAATCTCAGCTAAAACATTTGTTATACGCGTAAGGGATTCGCTTCTGGTTCAAGGCCATGGTGAAAAGCTGGACCTTGTTTTTATTCAACGTAGAACGACATCGAACAAGTTCAAGCGACTGTAAACGTGCGTGTTTTGAAATTAGTTCATAAAAGGCGCCTCTCTCCCAGCATCCGCCGTTTCGTCACGGGGGGGTGGGGGGCGCCACAGTTTCGGCCTTATGGTCTTTATTTCGCTATTTTTGATAACTTCGTAAGATTCTTTAACGCCGTTAAAATATGTTTTTTACGCCCAGTCGTTTTGATGAAATTGCGAAACGTATACAATTTAAGCATTATGTTTCCCTCGTTTTCCCCCCTCACTGTCTTAAAGTGGTACAGTATATACAGGCGTGACGTCACCTTTGATGTAGTTCTCCAATAACGACGCTTGAGGTCACCCAAGACCTTCGACAAATACTATTTTACGCACACTTGTGATAGAAACAGAGCTAAAATTTCATATTTTATTGAATGTCATAATTTGTAGATGCCAAAGTTTTGGGGTATTTTCCTTAGTGACCCTGCCAATTCAGGGCGTTCCACCACAACCACCAAAATGTCAACTACCTTGCATAGTGCTTATGTAAGCCTATGTTAAATTATTAATTATTATCATTTTATATTTGAGCCTTATATTCCTTTATTACATTTACCTAAATTATATTCTGTTTAAATATTGCTGAAACATTTTTATGTTGCTTGCATTTGATTGGCTGAAGAAAAGCAGTAAGTGTTTTCTTTACTGGAAGGAGGTTGTTCTCCTTCATCCGTTCGGAGGTGCAGACGTTTTTTTCCCCTTTTAATAAACTGTATTAAAGGATTTCATCTCTACTTTTGTCATTCGTAAGGTAGAGCTATCCACTAAAAACAACGAACCCCTCAACTTACACTTACATAACAATCCTGATCATTTGAATCAAATGTCTCACTGGTTTGATTTTAGACGCACTGGCCATAATGATTCAGATGATGACCTTTGTTTGTTTGTTTGCTTTTTGCATCTCAATTTTCAGTGGTCCAGTTGAATTATGTGAATTGTTCGGTTTTGCTCATTAAATGAAAAATTTGTAGAGCCTCTGCAAAACCTTTGCAAAAAAGTGTAGGAATTGTGGGTGGGAAACAGTTAGACAAACAAATTGCCTTGTACATTCTTTTGTCATAAAATTGAGGGCAGTTTTGGTAAATATCAATAGAGGGCAGGTCATTAACGTTACTGGTATGACTCTTGATCATTTTATTGATGCTTACTCTGCCATTCAGCTCAGGATATGACTGTTAATTCCCTGTTGGTTTTCTGTGGGTCAAATGAGTCACTTGGTTTTTTTTTTTCCTCTTCTTCCCCCAGCTGCACCATTCATTTGTTTCTGTGTGTGCTCTACTGAAGATGCGTAGGATGCATGTTGTGTGTTTTCCTGCCTAATAGATGACTGCAAGCTGTGTCATGCCTTTTATATAATTCTGCGGGGGTCCCTCGTACTATTTTAGGTTCATAGGGCTTCTCTTGCGCCACAGGTAGGGCCTACACAAAGCTCTACATTAATTTGCCATAGCTCATGTGTTTTTTCGTAGTCAGATAATCACCAGATAACCTTTCTGAATTATTTGTGTAATGTTTGAAAATAGCAATGTAATAGAGAAATTGTCATATACGGTATACGGTGCATACACACAAGACGCTTCCTTTTCACATGTGGTAGCTGGCGCATAAAGCATCTGTAGCATCTTACATCTTCACTTAGTGCCCGTTCTTGCCAAACAGCGCAAGCAGATGGACTAAAATACATGACACCATTCACAGAAGATGCAAATCGTGTTACAAACACCGATTGGCACTTAGTCTGTACTTTTAGATGTAAAAACACATCACACCGGCCTTGCAGTGAATTTGGTCTCTCGTTCTGATGTCACACCAAGAGATGGTAGCATAGCAACTTTGGCGATGATAAGGGAGCGTTCCCGGAGTAATTGGTTATATACCAGTTGCTGCAAAATGGCTAAGAAATGATTGCCAGTTTCATTTTCTCTGGAATACGATATGCATCAAGTCACCTTTACAGTGAACTGTAGGCCATCTGGACGCTGTATGTCCTCTTAAATTCTTCACGATACCACTGCATTATATTTGCGGATACAGTGTTTCTCATTGTGCATCACTGACTTTTTCATGTCGGAATGAAGTTGCCTTCAAGGCCCAATCACCAATTTTATCATTTTCTCAGAACACTCAATTCGTTGTTGAAATCCGAATCTATGCCGCCTGTAGTCCGAGGCAAACAGAGCGTGGGCGCGCGATATTGTCTGTGAATAACTTGTTTTATGGGTCCTGGGAGTATCATATGCAAGTGTCTGTACAGCTAAAGAGAATATTCCATGAAAGCTTTCTTTCTTTCTCCGGCCTTCTTGAGGGAGTGCGTGTGCGTGTCGGGCTGCCAGCGAGAACAACAGCAGCCTTTTCTGATAGCCCGGACCACACACAACCCCAGAGACCCGTGTCTTCTGTCATCAGCATGCAGACGTTAACAATGTGTATCTAAATTTAGACCTCCATGTTGCTTCATAAACCTGAATCCAACTTTCAACGTTGACACAAGCGAAACCTTCAGTCCTCTTGCACTGCATTCTTTAAGAACAAAACGGTGCTTAATTTGATAATCGATGAATTATCGGTTAATCATTGCATCTACCGTTTTCTGTACATGCAGCCATTTGCTGAGCCATTGAAAGATGTCATACCAGTGCTAACCACAAGATGGCAGAAATCGCTCACCAGCCCCTCCAACCCCGAGGCTGGAATTGAGAAGAAGAGCGTGTCATGTCCTCGTAACATCGATCTCCAAAGTATATAAACAACAGTTATCTCTTTTTTTCCACATAGCTGGCAGTTTGTTTAAAATGTGTGAAGATTTAGTAAACTCATGTCCTCCAAAAACAACTCTCAACAGTGCTTCCAATACGTTAGGTGGCTTAATTGCACAAGCGGCCATTGTGATGAACTCCTTTCAGAGCGGGACTTTACTCACCCATACTTGCACTGTTCACACAGGTGAGTGAACCAGCATATTTGTTTGAGTGACATGCAAGAAAACATGTTAGCATAAGACTGAAATCATTGAGTAAGTAGACTTGTGTCAAAACATTCACAAAATGCGTTTTTGCACATAATCGTGGTTTTTTTTTAAATTTGAATAAATAATACTTTAATAGTTATTTAACATTACGAAGTACTGCAGTTAATATTAGTATAGGTTACATTTGAGTTACATTTACAGTATCTTAGAGTTGCATCTGACCGTTTGAGGGCAACCAATATCCTGTCGTCGTCAGCGAAAAAGGGTTTGACAATAATGTCATAGAGCTTCCAGATCATTTTAACAAACCATACGGTTATTCATTGCTGTCATGGGCGCCTAGAGAATCAAATTACCATCTAAATTTAGGGACAACACTTAAAGCGTAATTTTCTTCTTAACATTCAGTATTTATTCTGTGTTATATGTCGCATGTGTTATTTCAGACATACCATTTGGGCTTTCGATTAAAGTCCCATGCTGAGGTGCAAGTGATAGGCCTATAAAGACACATGCACACATCCTTGCACTGAAAACAGATGTAGAGTGAATTCCCATTGGCAGCCGAGGCCTTTGAGTCATCAGCTGGGATTCCCTTCCTCTCGCTTCCAAATATGGGTGGGATTGTGAGCTAGAGGCAGACAGAATGTGAAAGGCAGAGTGGAACCCCCGGGTGATGTCAGAGTGTTGGAACAGCATGCCACGCCACTGACTGGAAATGCAGCGGCGAGGAATGTCGGGAATGTAAAACTCCATGTAATGCCATTCGCTCAGTTGTAAGAGGTTGCGCTTCATGTTTGCAGGCTCCCGCGTTTTTTTTTTTTTTTTTTTTTTCCGCATTAACTTCCCTTGGGAGCAACTTTT